CTTCAAAAGTATAAAAAAAAAAACAGAAAAAAAGAAAAGGAAAAGAAATGATAAAAAAAAAAAGTACTATCGTTTGTGGTCAAAATTACTGTTTAAAACAAGAAGAAAAACTATGTATATAAATATATATCGTCTTCAAAAAGAGAAAAAAAGAAGCTTTATTTATCCCTTGAAAGTACTTAATGCAAATCTGTTCAACTATACTTCTTCCTCTTCCCCAAAATTTTTTAACATCAAAACCATTATCATCTTCTACCTCATCTGTTCTGGTTAATCAAACAACAAACATAGTTATTCAAACCGATTTTAACAACAAGTAGAAGTAACTGAAGTAACTGTACAATAAAAAAAGGAAAGAAAGGAATTATTGGTTTTCTGTTGAATATAAGTTAGTTTTGCAAATTTCTTTTATAGCAACTGCTGCACCAACAAGTAAAAAAAACTTTTTCTTTCTTCAATGAAGAAAAAACTTGCCTTATGATTTTTACTTTCAAGTGACTGAAAGACAAGTGCACCGAGAAGCATATAAATTGCACAGGTGACCACCAGCAACAGATGCGGTAACAGGAATCGCATAAGAAAGTGCCGTATTATTAACCTAAAATTTAAACAACTGATTAAAATAAAGGTTGTTTTGTTAATGTTCTTTTTTTTTACTTTTTTTTTTTTGTTGTTCTTCTTTATTGGAAACAATTTAATAACAGCAAATTAATTCTTTTTTCAATTCTTTCTTCTGTTAGCCATTAGGATAAGCGTAAGAAAAAAAAAAAACAGAGCTTTAATTTTGAAACAGTTTAGCTGCCTTAAACACTTGAAAATTAAATAGAAAAAAGTTTGCTGGCTAACAGTGATTGCTGTTGCCAACAACCAAAAAATTCACTCTGTTTGTTATTAAGCCACTTAGTCAATTGTTCAATCAGTTGCTCAATTCTTTTCTCAGTTAGTCAGTTAGTCAGTCATCTATCTATTTATTTATTTATTTATTCGTTCATTTATTCATTTATCTATTCATTCATTCACTCATTCATTCATTCATTCATTCATTCATTTATTCAGTCAGTCAGTTGGGCCATTTAGTTAGCCAGTCAGTCAGTCAGTTGGGCCATTTAGTTAGCCAGTTAGTCAGTCAGTCAGTTAATCAGTCAGTAACTTCGTCGTTTAGTCAGTCGGTCTGTCAATTAGTTGACCAGTTAGTCTATTTCATTGTAATCATTTAGCCATAGTGGTTGCTAAAGTTTTCTTAACAAGAAAAAAAGTAAGTTTGGGACATTATATGTACGATCAAATATAGACAAGGAAATACTCTACAGAGTAACTTTTTTTACAGGGCTTCTGATCAACAATTCTTTTTGCGATTTTTTATATCTAATTTTTTTAACTTCAAAACATTTGCAAACAATAAAATAAATAAATAAAAATAAAAATAAAAAAATAAGAAGGAAATTTAATTAACATAATTTTATTTGTA